TTTTTGCCCGTCAGGACTGCAGAATCATGCCACAGCAGTAACAGTCAATATATTCACACTTCTAAGGTTAAATCTTGCAACCCTAACACAGACAAAGCTGGGATAAAAAACAAAACCACATACAAGACGCTCAAACCCATTCTTTGAGGGTCTGACCCCAAATTTCCACAGCATACAGTCTTCCCAGGGTCTTTAGTCCTTCCCTGCATCTACCACGTCCATAAATGTATACATAATATCATATGGAGACACCAGCGAGAAAGCATACAGGAGAAGGAGGACTGATTTAGAACTCCAAGGCACAACCATGTACAACCCTAACACTTTCAAGAGATTTAGTCACATTCTCAGATTTAGTCACAATACTCTCAGTCCGCTTGTGACCCCAGGATTGGCCGGAAGAATGATTATATGTTAGTACACTGGAAATAAGTTCTACTCTATTCTGCACTAAACTGGACCTAAAATTTGGGACAGACCACCCTCTCACCTCAATACGTTTCTTGATAAGTGATAATGTTGAAATTCTGTAGGCTCGAAATTCTGTAGATTTTTTAGTGATTTGTATGAAAATGGATAATGCAGTATTTCATTTAGGGGTTATTTTGATATTACATTTAAATCTATTTTATAGGTTCCCCAACATTTTCAATGTGTTCTAAATATTAGTTAAAAATCTAATTATCTTTTATTTTTATCAAGCAGAAACACGACATGTTGATAGCTGGAATAGAATCACTGGGCACCCAGAAGTCATCTGAGTTTGTTTGCTGACAACTTTTAGTGAGAAGGGTGTACTTTAAAAAAATGGAATAGGGTATCTGGATTCCTTGCTCTGTTACTTGGCAAACCTTGATAGGAACTAGCCACAAATGGTTTATATGGCAACAGATTATACAGTATCCCCAGTGTTAAGATTAAGTTAATTTAAAAACTACCATTTCAGCTGTTATCATTTGATGTCAGACCTGACATCTCAATGAGAAGTTTGGGAATACTTTACCATGTTCTTTCAGTTATCCATAGGGTAACTATTCATTTCTTTCTTTCTTTTTTTTTTTTTTTTTTTTAAA